ATGTAAATACATATGTATATGTATGTGTATATGTATTTGTATATGTATATTTCATGCACGTATGTTGGTGCGTCAATTCAATGTATATGATTGTTTTTCAATCTTTGTATACAATTTCAGAGGGATGATGTTGCTTTTATTTGAACACGTTTCTATTCTATACGGTGTTCATTTATCAATTGAGAAGGCATATACGGATATATGTAGTCTCATGCGCCCGATTAAGTTTTCAATATTTATTCCGAATATATATTTACTCTGCAAGAATATCTGGATTGTTTACTGGACAACCATTTGTGTATGCAAAATATCTTCTATGCACAGAATATGATTTTTGTGTATTTTATTGTAAGCGACATGTGATGAGTTCATCGGTGCACATTGCAATTGACTCAACCAAGCACTCGTCGTTTATACCTCGTTTGTTGTAGCCTGTGAGAATGTCGCCCCACAAGAAATGGTGGCGGCGTGTAATCGACTGGGACTGAATGGAGTGGCAGAGCGAAAAATGTACTCGCGAGACTGGGGCTGTGTCGGAATTGTCAAGATTCAGCTGTATAATAGGTACACCGCAATTCATCCGCAATTTTACTGTTGATTCGTTGTGTGCTCGTGTTCAATTAGTTCTTTCAAAATTTGAGAAACGAGGTAGCCTGAAAGGGGTTATTTACAATTGCGCTGCATTGTTACCGAACAGACTTAGAAACAGAAGTTGCAGCCACTCATGCAAAATTAACTTTCGTATACGATAATCGACCAGCAATGGTGCGCCACTGAGGAGTGATATTCCGAATCGGAAGTCGCTATATCTGCTACTAGCCAAGAATATTAAGGAAAGTCCCCGTACTCCTCGAGAAGAAGTGGAATTACCAAAACCCATTACAGTACAAACGGCGCCGACGTCCGAGAAGGCAATCAAAAAGAAGCAGAAGAAGCAGAAAGCGAAAATGATTCGCGCTTGAGCTGCCGACGGCAGTGTGGCGTATTTGTTATGGATTGCGTACTCAAGGCTAGTAGCAGAAGAAGTGCAGTGTCGCTGTCAAGGTTTAGTTCCCAGTGCGGATTAGATTCTATGATAGGTGATCATCATTCATATGTTGCCAAAGCTCTACAATGAGTTGCTAGCTGGAAGCCGGTTTAGCGTGGAAGGGAGGGTATCGTGATAATACTTTGAATCATTACCGGACGGTAGTGTGTGGAGTGTACGTCTGATACTTCAGTGTATGTGCAAACATACCAGCGAGGTGCAGTACTGTTCTTATCCTGTGCCGGAGGAAAAATGACTTCCACCTAGAGCTTGGTTTTTAATAGACTAGCGTAGACGTGTTTCATACACAGGAATAGTACACGCTGGCAAAACAGAGACTTCGTAGCCGCAGTTTTGCCTTTACTGCTTTTAGGTCGCACTGATGGCTATCAACAATGGGGAGCGCACCACTGTGGGTGTGACTAATAAGCATGGTATACACACTTGAACAACCGCTGGTCTCAGGACGTAAAAATACTGATAATTTTTATGAATTGACCTTCAATTCATAAAGTAAGTGAGCCCTCCACTTGTTACTCTTATACACGTAATCAGCTGTTGTTATGCTATCGATGTGGCTCGTGAGTTTTGTGTGTCCTCGATCCGCTAGAAGAAACTTACGTCCACCCGCCCTCCATATATGACCAGTTGTTTAGTCGCTTGTGAGTCCGAGTATCGAACCTGTATTCTCACAACTGCATTGATATGTTTCTGTTCGTATCGATTTGAGAGGCTATGGCTAATTAAATAAATTTAACCTGTCGTCAACAATTGACCACAGCTCTGGAATAGAACGATAGGGATGTGTTACCCTTGCTGTCTGGGTGAACGACCATCTCCTTCGTTTTGTATGTATACATGTCGAGCTGCAACTTATTAAATCGCTGGTTGTCAATCTTTGCGCGCTTGTCCCTGCGGTTATACTCATCTGCTGACCACGTGCTTCCTACAACGTCGTCGCCCCACTGTACATGTGGGTTGGCTGCCGCATGTACCTGTCCTTGCTCTGAATGAACTGTTGACGGCGATTTGAGAATGGCTGTGAGAAGGTGTCCCTTAGATAGATCATTGGTACATACTATTTGTTGTGCGCCAGTCTTACAATTTATAACGTCGCCATATAGAGATGTCCTTCTTCTTCCATTTCCTAGAGGAAAGTGCAAGTGTCCGCCGAGTTTTTGGTGGTGCCTCAGAGTGGAGGAGGGCTCTATCGGGTTCTCGGATTCGTTAAGCGATATGCTTTTATATATTTTTCTGAATAGGTTCTTACGAGGTAGCTTCTCGGAGTGGGGTGCTGTAGCATCAGTCAGACCAAGATTGGCTAGGATTGTATTGCTGTGTATATCAGAGCCTTGCGCTCTGATATTTGTTCGTTCACCATCCTTTGTTGAAGCAATTTCAGGGACTTCAATCCTTATAGAGTGCATCTGAGAACGATGCGAAGTTGACACACAAATTTATATATTTTGTATTATTACTCTTTGAGACTTCACCTACGAGCTACGGCTACACTGCTACAGTCTTAAATACACTACAGTCTACAGTACACTCTCTCTGTCTACAGTTCTACACTCTACACAGTACGCTACATAGTTCTACACATACTGCTTTTTATACTCTCTCTTGGCTATAAATAGAAAAGTAGGTGCTCGTTGTATTTATGTGACATATCATAAAAATAATTCAAACTTCTCCAAATCACCAGCGAGCTTTAATACCGCGAGAGGAGAAAGTGTGAGTCTGTGAGACTGAGAGACTCGTGAGAGAGGTTCGGAATCGGCCGCTCGGCCGTTCAGCGAAGTTAGCTTTTGAAATAATTGGGAGGTTATAAATAATATACTCTGCACACTGCCCACTGATCTCTCTAGAAAAGCTCTCCCAGTTAACCATTCGCACGAATTCATTGGGTAAAATATCGGAAAAAGTATTCCGACCCAATAAATATCAATATTATTGGATGTAAAATTATATCTATCCGGCATACGGCTGTGTGAGAGTGTGGTTGACACGTAACCGAATTGGCGGGAAAAAAAATGCATGAATAGTTTAACACACAAATGACACCGTGCCAGGATTCGATAGTAACAATTATGTGTTTACGCCCTCTCTCTGGTAGTAAAGAGGTTCCCTACTACTATAGAGAAAGAGGCTAGAGTCCTCTACTGTCTAATAGGTGCCTAAATATTTTAATTCATGTACAGGACTCCAGGAGGCTATAATTTTTATAGTACATAGTGATAGGATATGTAATACTACTACAATATAATAGCACTTCACTCTTGAGAACCCAAAATATGCTGTGAATTCGGATTCATAATTCATAAGCTTTTATAACAGGAGAGATGTCTCCACTGTCTATGGCCTCATAAAAAGTAATCGATTGTGAGGTCTGCGGTAGCAAATAATCATATAATATTTATTGGGAGATTGTTTATTTTTCCAGCTTGCTATAAGCAAATATTTATCCAACAATGACTTCATCTGGAGACGATTCAGATTTTCAGGTGAAAGTGTATGTATATTAGATAGCTATATTTTTTAGACACACATACATACATATATATATATATATATATATATATAAATATTATATACTAATAATATATATATATGTGTGTGTTATTTTATTGTTACG